GTTTAAATCTTGTTTTATGTGTTTCAGCATTTTCTCAAGTTGGATTTCATGCAAATGGTTAAATCACCTATGAGCAGAAAACTCACAAGAAATGGTGGCCTATTTTATCCACTCATTGCTTTAGCATTATTTGTCACTTTTCTTTATTTATCATTTGGAGATTTATTGTGGTTCAGTTACAACAAAGAAATAGAGATAAGTTTTGTGGAGAGAAATGGGACTCAGTTCTTTGTTGATGGTAAAGTTTTTTACATAAATGGGTGGAATTCTTACTGGTTAATGGACCATGCTGTGGATTATAGTAAAAGATCAAGAATTAGAGGAATTTTACAAGCTGGTGCTAAGATGGGACTCACTGTATGTAGAACTTGGGCTTTTAATGATGGTGGATATAATGCTCTGCAGATTTCCCCTGGTAGATTTGATGAAAGAGTTTTTAGAGTAAGCAAAACTTGTTTTTAGTATTATTTCTAGTATTATAATATGTTTTTTACTTTGGTTGTTTTCCCTTTTTGAGCAATCTTTCTACAATTATTGGTTGAATTGTACCCTATTTGCAAAAGGATTTAAATTATATGTACTGACTGCGTACATCATTTTTGCACCATTAGTTTAATATAATCGGCTATAGCATTAGTTTAGCCTTGGAGCAACGGTCATGTTGTCTCCGTGCAACCTGCAGGTCACTGATTCGAGCTGTGGAATCAGCCACTGATGCTTGCATTAGGGTAGGCTGTCCGCATCGACCCTTCCCCGAACCCTGCGTGAACGCGGGATGCTTTGTGCACCGAGATGCCCTATTTTTTTATAGCAGGTTATTGTTCTATGTTTCAGTCAGGTTTGATATGAAAATTTACATATAGGTCAACTTAACTTGATAGTGTAAACGCTGTCAATGCACAAAACTTAAACTCTTTGTATAAAAGATGTTTAGTTATAGGACTTCTGAATTTTTGTCAAATACATAAGTTTGAAGTCATTTAATCTAGTGTTGATAGCTTTAGTCTTTTAAATTACCAACATGTAAAGGATGTCTAGTCTGCTTCCTGCTTTTCTGATTTTCCAGCTTTTTTTTTGAGTTCATTTTGAAAAATATCCCCCAAAATACTAGTTAATGAGTTTTCATAATTACTAATTTGATCATGAGTTTTTTCTTCTCTGGCGCATGGACTTTTTGTCCACTTGATGCAGAAATGTGTTGTTGCAGGCATTGGATCATGTTATTGCAGAAGCAAGAAAGAATGGTATTAGGCTAATGCTTAGCTTGGTTAACAATCTGAATGCATTTGGTGGGAAGACTCAGTATGTAAAATGGGCAGAGAAAGAAGGTGTTGCTTTAAGTTCTTCCAATGATTCATTCTTCTATGACCCTACCATTCGTCGCTATTTCAAACATTATGTCAAGGTAATTTTCCTAGGAAAAAATTTTCTTCAGGAGAAACTTGTATATTGCGCTACATCTGTGTTTCTGAAATATAACGTTGTTCTACTTGTCAGACAGAGAGCAAGAGAATACGCATTGGATCCTATAAAGTTTGGTAGTTCTCTTGGGCAAATTGCTCGTTCTACTGCAAGACTATTTTTGAAGTGCAGAAAAGTTTACCTTATTGAGGCACTATCTAAATAACCGGAAAATGTTCTTTACTTAATTACTTGGACCAAAATTTTCTATTTGAAACATTAACTCATTGGAAAAACTATGTCTTAACTTCACTTCAAAAAGCCCCTATTCTGGGATTTCTGAATTACTTCCACATTGAGATGTCAGATAAGATCACTTACTTTGACCACCCCGCCTGATTTTCTTTTTCGTTGTTTTAACACCTTCCTCTTAATGAAGTATATAAAAGATGAGAAGTATCTTTAAGTATTGACTGATATAGAATGTACTTTAAAGTGAAACAAAAGTTTACTGAAGTTCCTACTCACTCCCAGAATAACAACAACAACAACAACAACAATCAAACCCAGTGAAATCCCACACGTGGGGTCTGGGGAGGGTAGTGTGTACGCAGACCTTACCCCTACCTTAGGGAGGTAGAGAAGTTGTTTCTGGAAGACCCTCGGCTCGAGAGGAATGCTCATTCCTAGAGTGCCAGTGTGATTTTTACTGTCATACTAGATGCAATAATATTTTCATTTCCAGATTCCGAATAGTGCAGATGTGCAAGGAGCGTTGGTGCTACTTCAAAATAGAGTGATTAGCATGATTGACGACTTACAAGTATATTAAGCGAAAGTATCAATGACCATAAATCACATGATATTTATCTAAGTTAGTGCTTCCACTCTCTTGCTTGGGATTGAGGTGTAGTTGTTGTAGTTGTTGTTGTTGTAGTGCCTGCACTCTGGGAGGGACAGAAAAGACTGAAAAGCGCAGAAATACGATTTAAAAGGAGAAATTTAAACTAAAGAAGAGGAAATACAAAGGAGATACTTTTACTTTGTTGGAGGTTGAAGGATATGAAAAGGAAGATTGACATATTACAGTACTTGTGCACAACATAATTTCAAACATTAAAAAGGAGTGAAAAGTCTCGTATTTACTTTTACCTATTTCTGGAATACTGGTGAATCGAGGTGAAGATAAGGTGGAGAGGGAACGGGGAGAAGGAAGAGTTTGATCTCTTCTCACTTCTGGATTCCTAGGCCGAATGGCCATTATTGTTCCAGAAAGGTGCATTATGAATGAACTGAGTTATATTGGCGCTTTCCAATTCTTATCTTCTACTAGTTTTCTGTGCCTATGGAATGACTCGATTGCTTTATTAAATTGCCCCTTGCATCATGCTATAGGAGGGACAGAATAGTTTTGGCATTAGGCAATGTCATGACTCATGATTGAAGCTCTCTTTTCGCTCCTTGAGCCGGGGTTTATGAAACAGCCTCTCTGCCCTCAAGGTAGGGGTAAGGTCTGTGTACACACTACCCTCCCCAGACCCCACATGTGGGATTATACTGGGTTTTTTGTTGTTTTTGTTTGTCTGCAGTCACATACCACATCCTGGTACTAATACTAACGTTACATTCTTGCTATAAACTTCTAACCCATGTAATCGTTCTTTTTTCTTACTTCTAGACGGTGCTAACAAGGAGAAACGTATACACTGGGATTGAGTACAGGGACGATCCAACTATATTTGCGTGGGAGATAATAAATGAGCCTCGCTGCATGACCGATCCTTCTGGTGACACACTCCAAGTAAGTTCTACACTCTCACCTCATTGTTAATATCATCATAGTGTTTGACAGAAAAGTAGTCCTTCAGTTGAGTAGCTAATCATATTTATTATGTTGTTCTCTGATGTTTGGATGTCACTTCATATATTTAGTATATTCTACTTTAGAAGGAAAAGGGCAAAATGTTTTGCTTGCATTATGTTGATTTGTAGTAATAGTTACCAGAGGGTATCTACATGCAATCCGCCCTAAACTTTGTATTATACCATTACATGTACTTTCAAATGTCTCGACATGTCTTCTGTATATGTCCTTAGTTTCACCTGGAGGCTGGATATGAACTAATTGCATCAGATAATTTTGCAGGATTGGATAGAAGAGATGTCAACATTTGTGAAATCAATTGATAGGAAACATCTGCTTACAGTAGGCCTAGAAGGATTCTACGGTCGTAAAAGTCCCAAAAGATCAACTGGCAATCCAGAGTTTTGGGCTGCTGATCTTGGATCGGATTTCATCCGCAACTCCATGCTTTCAACGATTGATTTCGCCTCTGTACATATATATCCAGACCATTGGTAAGCTTTTTATCATACTCAACTTTATTAATTTGTGACAAATACAAATAGGAAATGAGAAAGAAAAAGTTATAACTTGAAAGAGGAAGTGCTTGATCAAATTTAGCCCCTCAGAACATTTTCGGAAACAACCTCTCTACCTTTGCAAGGTAGGGGTAAGGTTGCGTACACGCTACCCTCTCCAGACCCCACTTGTGGAATTACATTGGGTTTGTTGTTGTTGTAGAACATTTTCCCTCTTTGACATCCTTTTTTTGGTAGGTTTCACAAAAAGTTCGAAGAAAAATTAAAATTTGCAGCCAAATGGATGCTTTCTCACATAGAAGATGGTGACAAGGAACTAAGAAAACCTATAATGTTCACTGAATTCGGTTTGTCAAACGAGAACGAGGACTTTGAACCTGTTCAACGAGATAGATTCTACAAAATGGTTCTTGATATCATATACAAGTCTGCAAAAAGAAATAGGTCCGGGGCAGGTTCATTTTTCTGGCAGTTTTTAGTTGAAGGAATGGAACTGTATAATGATGATTTTGGAATTGTTCCGTGGGAGAGGCCTTCGACGTATCAGCTAATTACTGAACAGTCGTGTAGGCTGGCTAGAGAACACGATATACTGCCTACACAAACGGAATATTTGAAGGATTTTTGTACACGAACGAGTGTATAAACCATGTATTCGTTTGGAAAAGAATGAAGAATCTGGTTGTATTTTTTCTTGTTTGAAATTTGTTTAGAAGGAGGAGGAGATGCAGGATAGTTTTACACATGTATTTCTCGGTTTACAGATGTATACTATACAGTTTACATAAAATGAAAGTAGAGCAGATTATTTTCCCACTTTTTGTTTTTGATAACTTACAGAACATTAAATGGTTTGTTTTTTAAAAGAGGGATTTTACCAGCAGGTGCATACCTTAGCTTGATGTTTACTCTTATTAACATCATTTTTTGCGGTATTATTAGGAAAGCCTTGGAGCAACCATAAAGTTGTCTCCGTGTGACTTATAGGTCACGAGTTCGAGCCGTGAAAGTAGCCACTAGGGTAGACTGTCTACATCACACCCTTGGGGTGCGACCCTTCCCCGCACCCCGTATAAATGCGAGTTGCTTTGTGCACCAAGCCTGATATTAACAAAACCGGATATTCATTAACTTAACTTGAACAATATTTTCTGATTTAGGTAAATATTCTGCTTGTGGGAATATCCCCAAATAGATGTTGAATGGAGAGAAGAAAACAAAACAAAAGAGAGAATTAAGGTACAAGCTGTTGTTACATTATCCGTTCGTTGGCTTCACCAAAATTGGCCGCTGAAAATTTTAGCTTGATATTTGCTGTTAATTTTCATTTGCTTTAAGTATTATAACCACATACTAACTTTAGCAAAGCTTAGGGAACATTGGGTCAGTACAAATATAGATTAAAAATACAAAGACCAAACCCCATTTAGAGAGGAAAAAAGGGCAGTATACACCTCTTCTCGCTACTCAAACAATGTAGGTTGGTGTGGAGCATATAACTGCTTGGCATCGAGTGTTCCGCTGCTTGAGGAAGTATCTGAGAGGATCGGCGTTGAGCAAAAGTATGGTTATCTTCAAATACATTGTGTTATTGGTACTCTTCCGCCCTTTCTTGTGCAAGACCACACCACCAATCAAATTCAGTCAATTCTTTCTATTCTCAAACAATGATCGACTTATTTACTGTTTTCTTAGCGGGTAGTTTATGTCTGATCCTTTTGGGTCGCCTAACCCAGGCTCATGGCGCTTCATAAGGGCTTGTCTGGAGTTCAGCGGCTCTCTAAGCCTTCGATGTACTAGTACCTGACACCAACACACCGTGTAGGAGAAAAATAATGTTATATGGTCTAATCACCGTGTTAAAAGGTGGAGATGCATGACGAAATATTTCTAACACTTTTTTCATTATGCAACACCATATCGGATAAGTCAATAGTCAAATATTTAAACGAAAGAAAATGTAATGGGATTCCCTACGCAGATAACTCAATGTGGATAATGTTTAACATGACGTTTTGGACGTACAATCCAAATAGCTCAAAGTGCAAAGCATTCATTGGAACAATCACCCCACCTATTGACACAAGAAATATTTGTTCTGGCTGTTCAGACTTCAGAGGGACTCAAGTCACTCAACCAAACAAATTCTGCAGCCTTGTTAGTTAATGGCCTGAACAATGTGGATCCGAAAATAGTACAAATTGTGCAACAACTAGAATAGGCAGCTAAGATATTTTACATACTTTCCACCGATTAAAAGAAGAGGGATTAGTTCAAGTTTGTTGTGCCAAGAAAAACTGAGCTTAGACCTCAATGCATCAGTTCGGTTAGACCAGTATAAGAACCTTATGATAATGTGGTGTCCCATAATAAGAACCTCATAGAAATTTTAGAAATCATATAAATCTTTTCAATGATCAATTGCAAGAGTTGTTATTCATGTTAACAACGGTATTACAACCGTTAGCAATTCTAATCAATCAACAGAAGACGCAAAGATGATAAAAGATAAGGTGACTTGAGATGTAGGACATCACTTACTCGAAAAAATTAGCTCTACCCCAAAAGGCACCTAGGCTTCCAGCTAAAGTTGAAATGAGTAAGAAATTTAAACCACATTTAAACTTCGATTGGTTTCAATAGATAACAATTTGACTACAGGCAAACAAAGCAAATAAGAAAATGCAGACATCTTCACAATGCCACTTTATGAAAATTCACAAAGTGCAACAAGGTACCGTTGCAGAATTAAGTTTCTGGCATATACATGAAAACATTCAGCTGAATCCTAAATATTGTAAATGAACATTTTCGTATGTATATAAGATGTAGTACTTGTTTAACAGGAGAGGTGATACCCCACTTATCCCAAGCATTCCAACAGCCACAAGAATCCGAACTGATACATTCCTCACAACTGGAAATCTTACAAATTTCTATCAGCAGCTAACCACGATCTCTAGGGAATCTCAATTTAAAAATAGAGAGTTTAAGCTCCTCAGTTAGTTCTGTCAGAAAAGTATAGCTATGGTTTCAATTAAAGAAAAGAAAGTTAATAACTACAATGAACTGACCACACTCTCAACAGGTGATATGCTGTGCAAGAAAGAAGCTCCAGCATGGCGCTGGGGTCGGGCATACATGGTTATGTTGCACAAACATTCCTCTTTTTTTTTTTTTTTGAGAAGGTAACATATTTATATTTAAAATATAGACTGCATAGAATTGCACAAACATTCATAACTAGCAGATCTTTTAAATTCCTACAATAAAACATCGATTGGAAGAAAGAATATTAGTCAAACGGACAAAAGGAAGTAGAGCATTCTATGTAAACACACTGCAATCCCGATATCCAGTTACAAGCAAAAGAGAAAAGGAAATTTAGAAGGAAAAAGTTTCAGGTAGGCACAGAATTAATATATTGGTCAGGGAGGTGAATATATATAAAAGAAGTTTCACCTCAGCAGAAAATATCATCTCATCTGTTTGTGATCAGATAGAAGTTACAGAATCTGCAAGAAACACAACAAGGTTTAGTATACAGTAGGACAAATCGAAGCATAATATTCAGCCACGAGAGATTCATTTGATCAGCTATTGTAAAAGTACCTGCACAAAGTTCGAAGTGTTTCCCATCTATGGTTACGTGCATTGATATAATTTGGCATTACTCATTGTAACAGCATAGCTCAATCAAAACTGAGACCTATTTGTTTAATACGTGGATCGACAATGGTTCTATAAGTTTCACCATCAGGAATTACACCTCGAAGCACCATATAGTCGTGGAGCTCAACAACTTCCTCTGCGCTTCTCTCCTTACTCATACTCGTGAGAAGTATCGTGTAAGTTATGCAATCCGGCAAAATACCTTGTGTGATCATGAGACACATCAGTTCTTTTGCATGTTGAATCAGCCCCAACTTGCACATGAAATTAATCAAAATATTGTAAGTGACTTCGTTAACGGATATCCTCTCTTTTCTCATTTTCAAGAATAAATGCAATGCTTTGTCAATCTTCCCACTGATGCAATACCCATTCAACAATGTATTGTAAGTGATCAAATCATATAAAGACGTTCCCTTTAGTTCCTCTACCAACAGTTCTGCTACATCTACTGACACTTCTTTGCATAAACCATCCAAAATAGAATTGTATACCACTAAGTTGGGATTCTTCTTCACCTTTATAATATCGTCATATACCTCAAAAGCTCTATTAATATTGCCTTCTTTGCAGTATCCATCGATCATAGTACCATATGTGATTAGGTCCGGGATTAGACCACGAACAAACATGCTGCACACGAATTGCTGTGCCCCTAATGTATTCTGGCTTTTGCAAAGATAATCAATAAGAATATTGTGTGAAAAGGCATCTTCCACGAGATCCTTTTCCACAATACACTTATGATAACTAAGAGCTTCCTTTATGCGACCGTTCCTACATAGTCCTTTCTCGAGAATTGAATGGGTGAAATTATCTGGAGATATATACTTTTCAATCATGTCAGACAGTAAACAAGTAGCTCCATCGACATCTCCTTCAATGTAAAGCTGGTGGATTACTGTGTTGTAAACTACTGAATTAGGCATCAACCCTTTCTCAACCATTGCATTGCAAATCCTAAATGCCTCGTCCAGCATTCCATTTCTTGAGTACCCATCGACCAACGTTGCGTAAGTTCTTACATTTGGCTCCAAACTCATCTCAATCATTTCGTCCAAAAACTGCTCTCCGATCGCTACACTTCCTAGCTTGCAATAACCATTGACGAGACAATTATACGTAATTGTATTAGGAATCACACATCCCCACGACATGATCCCTACGTTCCTAACAAGCTTCAATGCCATATCAAGTTCAACTATTCTACAAGCGCCGTCTACGAGCATGTTGAAAGTAACAACATTCGGCATTATCCCACACTTCAACATCTTATATAACACCGAAATAGCTTCTAATAATTTACATTCTTTACAACGGGCATAAATAACCAAATTAAAGGTATACACATTCTCAGAGTAACCATATGAAACCATTTCTTTGTACATCAACCAAAAACGACATACGTCGTCTACTTTAACTAGATGATTCAAAAAATTATTCCATGCATGAATTGAAACAAAATAACCCTCCACCCTTAAATTCTTGATCACACTATATGCACCATCACTTGCCCCTAACTCTGCACAAGCCCGAACCAACGTATCAAAAACTGCATTACATGTAGAACTATTATCACAAGTATCCAACAACACTTCCAAAATATCCAGAGGTGAATACCCTCTACTAATTATTAACTCTTTTATCAAGAATAAAGCATCATCATAATTTTTGCAATTCACCAATGAATGGATCACAATACAACAACTTTCCAGAGAATTCAACCCACTTTTACCAGCTGAAATTCTTTTGTAAAGCTCTAAAACTACATGGTGAGAGCTACAAAACTCGCGAAAAACAAGAGAAATAACAGAATTTGTGAGACTTGAAGATATTTGGTCCAAGAATTTCCATTTCTTTTCCCTCAAATTCATACAAACTGCTTTGAATAAGATGTCTTCTGTATTTGGGGTTGTGAATTGCTGACCTAAATGAAGAGTTCTAACAAAAAGATTCCTCCTTTGCAACCTAAACAAGTTTAACACCATTGACTGACCAACCCCCACTTGTAAAATAGTCTTGTTTTACTGAATTTGAAGAAAAAATCAAGAACGAAGTTGCAAGAATTCACCTTTGGATCATAAACAGGCTTAACACCATTGATTGAACAATACCCACTTCAGAAATAGTCTGATTTTTGAAATTTTGAAGAAAAATCAACCCAATTGAAAAAGAAAAAAGTAGAATACAATTATACAGACCTTAATATGCCCGGGAAATGGCTAAAACCCTGAACCCTTTTTCTGGTAGAAATTACATCGGCTAGCCGCTTTGAGCGGGTGAAGTACACAAATAACCTCAAAAAGTGTCATATTTTTTGTATTGTTTTTGGCTTTGAGCACACCCGACTCAATAGTAAAAATAGCACAGACTAGCCAGTTTTTAAACTATTAATTTAAAAATAGCTACCATTTATAAAATTATCGAAAAATAGCCAATATTTTACTGTAATACGGACCGGTCCACCATAATATACTGAAAATTGGTGTACCTGTGTATGAACTTCCAGCATATTATGCTAGAACTCCAACACGCGGAAAGTTCCAGCATAATATACTGGAGATTGGAGCACGTGTGTATGAACTTCCAGCATATTATGCTGGACCGGTATATTATACTGGAACTCCAGTATATTATGGTACAATATTTTCCGAATTTTGAACAGTGTTTTCGTTTAGATTTATCTTTACATGAAAAGTGGCTAAATTTCGATTACTTTTGAAATTATGACTATTTTTCAATTACCACTTGTAAATCTGATTATTTTTAAATTTCTCCCGAATTAACATTATTTAGTTTTTAAAAATTAGTTAACTTTTAACCAGTTTTAACAAATTTCGGCTCATGCTGTTTCTTCTTCTTCTTCTTCTTGCATTCGGGTCAACTCTAACCATCAGGGCTAAAGTTTAAAACTTCAGACCCGATAAATTAAATTCTGAAGTGGTTAAACTTTAAAATTTTATAAATCTCGGTTATTCTGTAAAAAGGGTCCTAAAAACGGCTATTTGTGCACATCCCCTTTTATCTACGGGATTCGCCTATATAAGCATAGTTAGCCTTGCCATTCACTGAGCAATCTTTGCTAGAAATTCAAAAATAGTCAGATTTACAAGTGGTAATTGAAAAATAGTCACAGTTTCAAAAGCAATACTAGAAATTTAGCCACTTTTCATGTAAAGATAAATCTGAACGAAAACACTGTTCGAAATTCAGAAAATATTCCAACATAATATATTGGAGTTTCAGTATATTATGATGGACCGATCCGTGTTGCAGCAAAATAGTAGCTATTTTTTAATGACTTTGCAAATGCTAGCTATTTTTCAATTACCAGTCCGAAAACTGGCTAGCCCGTGATATTTTTACGCAATCTTTATATCTCATAGAGGGCGTTAGAACCCTAAGCCCTTTTCTTATCTTGGTTGTTTTCATTTTCTTTTCTTTTTTTCCTTATTTTCTTCAAATAGTTCTTAGATAAGTTTTTAAAAAGAAAAAAGAAAAAGAATAGCAGAGATTGTGCGTATCGGCATTGTAATTGATTTGTCAATTCTAAATATCGTATTTGGCATTACGACTAATTGCTTTGCTATACCCGTTCTATTTTATGTCTTAGTTTGACTAGACACAATGTAGAATTAGAATGTAAGAACTTTGAACCTTTTGTTTTGTTAATAAATTAAAAATAGCTTTTGAATCTTGTGATTTTAAATATATTATGTCACTCTAAATATAAAAAAAGTAAAATAAAATTGTTAGAATAAAAAACTTACTAAAAAAATTTGTTTAAAACAAGCTAGTAAATAATACATTAAAACACATAAATTAAAAATGAGAGTAGAAATTTCCATTAGCTCTTTGGTTCACCACTTCAGCTGTTTAATTACTTCTCATTTGTTTTTATTAAGATTAAGACGCATGAATCTGAATATACATCCAAATATTAATATATGTATTAAGATTAAAACGTGTGAATCTGAATACACATTTAAATATTAATATATTATTAAGATCTGAATACTGAATAATTAAGACTGTTTGTTTTCTCTACATTTGAATGTGTAAAACTTATCTTTATTTAAAAATTAATAAGTATAAATTCAAATCAAATAATACTAATTCATCTAATACTATATTAAAAAAATATTTTTTTAAAAACTTATATGGTGATGATGGCTAACCATGGCGATTGTGGGTGCCGACTGGATAGTGACTGGTGGTGGTGGTGGTTGATAGTGGTGATTATATGTAGTAGATGGTGGATAACAATAGTAGCTAACAGTGGTGGTTGATGGTGGATGACTAATAATAGTGATGGGTGATATATAGTAGTGGTTAATAGTGGTGATTGGTGATTGTTGTGGTATCGGTGGTCGGTGGTGATGGTTGTAAATGATGACTAGTGGTAGTGATATCTGACATCCGTGCTTGACAACGATGATAGTTGTGGCTGAGGATGGTGGTAATGGGTGGTGGGTGGTGGTATTCTATAATGGTGGGGAGCAACGATAACCGTGATGATACTGATTAGCGGTGAAAGTATATGAGTTGAAATATTATTTTTGCATAAATTCTTGAATGTAAACATCTTAATGATATTAAGACTATGTTATAGATCTTAATGAATCTTAATCATTAAGATCTATTCAGACCCATTAAGTGGTTATAATATTAAAAAAACAAACAGACTTAATGGCTAGGATCTGATTGATTAAGATTCAAATCTAAAAAACAAACGCACTTCATGACTGCGATCTGGATAATTAAGCTAGAAGGGGCCATAAATTTCCAAATTTGTTTTGAAAAGTCTGATTTGGGTGAAGTTTGGTTTGAAGATGAAAATGTGTTTGGACATAAGTTTTCAAAACATGTTTCACTTTTTTTTTTTGAAAAAATATGAAACATGACTTATACCCACAAGTTCTAAAAACTATCACAAATACCCAACAGTACCTTCATCAATAATATTCATTATCATTATCACAAACCATAGTCCTGAATATAAATAAATTTGGTACAAATTTATCATTTTTATAATGAACTACATAATACACTATCACATGACCGAGAAGACGAAGCAGCATTATTACAAAATAATAAATGGTGGATTCTTTTATAAAATACAAAAGTTTGAGATAATTTTTAATTTTTTTTAAAAATATAATAGTAAAATTTTGGTCCAAAACCAGTTGGTTTTGGGATTTGGGAATTTTCCAGAATATGAATAAAATTTATGAACAAATATGTATTTGCCAAAAATAATTTGGGAAATATTTGGCAAAATCTATGGCCAAACGGGTCCTAAGATTCATGCATCAATTAATTGCAAACAAATGAGGCCTTAATAGTGTTTGACAACATTAGAAAGTAGTGTATTTTCAAAATATTTTTGTCACGACTCGAAATTCCCACTTTCGGGACCGTGATGACGTCTAACATTTTACTTGCTAGACAAGTCAACGTTAGAATAATTTAAACTATTTTTAATAATTTATTTTAATTAAATAATAAAGAAAACCAACAATCGGAATAATATATGAATTTAAATGTGCAAACCAAAAATAATACGATGTCTAAAATACCATCCCAGAACTGGAGTCACAAGTGCACGAGCTTTTAGAATAATACAAACAAGGGTCTGAATAAAATAAAGTTGTCTAAAAGAAAGCACACAGCTAAGATAAAGTAGAAGTGGACTTCAGAGCTGCAAACGTCGTACAACTATACCTCAAGTCTCCTATGATAGCTGAATCCGAGCAATTATGCAGTATGCCGCTGGGACCAACTCCGAAATCTGCACAAGAAGTGCAGAGTGTAGTATGAATACAACCGACCCCATGTACTCTGTAAGTGACGAGCCTAACCTCGACGAAGTAGTGACGAGACTAAGGCAAGTCGCTTACGTTAACCTGTACGCAATAATAATAATAATAATAATAATAATAATAACAGGAAAAGAAGTAAGATCGGTAAATCATATCAATAATTGAAGTCAATTCAGCAGTCATAATCCTTCAATAAATTTCTGTTGCGGCGTGCAACCCGCTCCAACAATATAAACTTAACATAAAATCCGTTGTGACGTGCAACCCGATCCAACGATATAATCTTTCAATTAAATTTCATTGCGGCGTGCAACTCGCTCCAACAATATAAACTTAAAATAAATCTGTTGCGACATGCAACCCCCTCCAACAATATAATTTAACAATTCTTAAATGTAAAAATATTCCAATAAATATTACATTAAATAAGAAATTATTAGGCAAAAAGACATACAATGATTATAATTTATTTGGGAAATAAATAATGACAAGTAGCAATTAATTGTGAAAATCAGGGAGAAAATAGCAATTTAATATTTAATGTGCTAAATGTTAAGTAGCAATTAAGACACATAATTCAAATAAACATGTAACAATTATAGCATGAATTCAAGACATAATATTGGGTAAGGAATATGATAGAAATAATTAATATAATAATTAATTCATGATTTAAAATAATTTATGATTATTAGATAAATGTACAAACAATCAATTTGACGACATATAGGCACTCGTCACCTCGCCTATACGTCATTACACATGAAATTCACTTAACAAATAATTCAAGGGTTCTATTCCCTCAAGTCAAGGTTAACCACGACACTTACCTCGCTTCGCAACCAAATTCAAGATTCCAATAAACCTTTGCCTCGCGAATTGGTGTCTGAAAGTTTCAAATCTAGTCACAAGCAATTCAATACACTCAACATGAATCGTAGGAATTAATTCCATATGAAATTACAGATTTTTCGTATTAAAATCCGAAATTCATATAAAAAATCAACAGTAGGACCCACGTCTCAAATCTCGAAAAATTTTACGAAATCCGAACACCCATTCCGAGACGAGTCCAACCATATAAAAATTATCGAATTGCGACATCGAATTGTCTTTCAAATCCTAAATTTTTGTTTTTGTAAAGTTTTATAAAAATCCCAATTTCTTCCATCTAAATCCGAAATAAATGATGAATATTGACATGGATTTATGAAATACAATCACTTGCGGATAGAGAACACTTACCCAAGTCGAATTCGTGAAAAGCCCCTTTGGAATCGCCCAAATCCGAGACAACTCAAAAATGAGTAAAAATGGCAAACTTTCAATTTTAAGCATTCTGCCTAGGCAAGTCGCAGGTATGAAATGCAACTTTGTCTCATATTTTCAGGCAAATAAAAACTGCTACCAACCTTCAATAAATCGTTCATAACTTTTTGTACAAATGTCCAA